CATGAAGTTAGCTAAACTATATTTGAACTTAAAGCTTAGTCATTTAATTGCAAATCTCTTATTTTGGGTCTCATCGATTTTTAGAAGACAAATACATAATTTTTTGTTGTGTATCCTGTTTTTTGCACATCCACAATGTGCTGACACGTAGAGCGGCAAAGGCAATGGACCTGCTCCTGCACAATGTATCTCTATCTGCACTTGTATCTGTGTCCTGCCTGAGCGACAGTTTGACATCTCTAAATAAAGTTTGCACTTGCAAGCTACGTGGGCACAACCAACACACACTCACTCACACCCCCACAGGCACTCATACACATTTGCAGGGGGAAATTCAGGGAAAGATAGACACCCACAGTGGCACGTTTGACAATTTAATGGTGTTGAGGTTATTTATACAATACGCTCGCTGCAAGTGCTCAAATATTCAGTGACCAGTAAGCCAATGACGTGTTCGCCAGTCGGTTTAAGTACCAGTTTAATGGCTTTAACAAGTCAGTTTAACAGAGAGCCAAACAAGTAGATTAAAGGCACAAGATTTCTATTTTGTCCTATCGGAACGTTAAGAAATGCATACATTCAACATAGTTTTGTAAAGTACAACATTTACACAACACAATCTATAATTTTATTAGGAACAATACTTTAGACGATGACAAACAAGACAAATGGGGTATTTTAGTCAGTCTATAAAAACTACTTTTTAGATAAGATAACTGCCTTAAAATACAACGACAAAGACCTTATCAAATCATAGAACATTTTTTTCCATACCATTATATTCATTGCAATGCCATATAACCTTTGTTAATATTGTAAAAATAAAAAAAAAATTAAATATAACCTTAATAGTTTAGTATTAAGAAATCTTTTAAAAATTCGACTGAATTTAAGCTACAAGATAGATCTGGGTCATCAATTAAAGTCCGTTTGGGACTACAAGCTCATCCAGAAATTATACCAGCAAATGGCTGAGCCAAGTTGCAAAAGCATTTCAGTCATTCCGCAAAGGATGTCGATTGACAAGACAGTTTCCGACTGGCAACAGGATCCAAAGTGCCTCGTCAGTTGGTGGAAATGTCGACAGCTGAAGATACTCGCACTTGCAGCAGACGTATCACACTTGCAGCAGACGTATCACACTTGCAGCTAACCAACGCATTACTCTTGGTCGTTACAGTTTATGGGCTTTAATTTAATTTCAGCCGGAATGCGAGATGCGCTCTGAATTAACGAGCTGTTTGGCCACATAAAGGCGATTACGCGAATTCTGGTTGCGATTGGGGGAAATACTCGGCGAGTTATGGGCTTTTAAATGCCAGTAGCTGGTCAAGAATTAAATATCGCAATAATCCTGTGCAATGAAAACATTGACGCATGAAAACTAAAGAGCATACTCATTTAAATGACCAGCATTTGATTAGCTTGGCTAACGATGACGAGTTGACTATATAATGAATGTCCTAGTGCAATTTAGTTGCGCCCCATAAATCAGCAACATGGGAAATTACAGAACGAGTACGGTGTTGACTACGTGGAATGCAAATGAAATGACCTGCATGCCAGGCAAAGGCGGAATGCAAGGCTGCTAATAAATAAAAACATACGAGTTTCGGGCTACGAGAGAGCATTTACATAATTTTGATTATTTTCGCTGGATGTGAGCAGTGTCCTTAGCCCGAATAACATTTGCAGTTGGCAGTTGGCAGTTGGGCGGCATTTGTTGTTGGGGTTGTTGTTCTCGATTGTGGTTCTGGCTGAAACTGTTTGGCATTATGGAAATTTCCGTTTGTCATTTTGGGGCGCGAAGTGTCTACATGCAAATTGAGTTGCAGCAAGCAGAATCGCCCTCTTCACTCCACCAGTCGACAGTTGTTTGTTGTTTGTTGTTTGTTTAGTTTTGCATTTGGCAAATGCAATCTTAGCAGGGCTTCCTGGTTGGCTGCCTGTCTGTCAATACATTAAATGGCCATTTTAATTTGTTTAGCATGCGGCCATTGCCGTTCTTGCATCTGCACCACATGGCGTATGCGTTATAATCACACAAACTCGTACATCCCATACGTATGTATCTATGTATGCACTCTGCGCCCCTGTTTGCATTTTTAATACTGCCATTCCACCTGCAGCTGTGGCCCAGACAAACTGCCGGAGATACTTTGGCATTAAAAATTGAAACAACATTGCAGGCAAAAGGCGGCAACAAAAATGGATTTCGGGCATTGCTTCCAAACACAGCACATTTTCAGCAGCTCCGTTTTATGCGATTCTCACAATTGTTTCTCCCAGTTGGAATATATATACCTTGTTATTCTATAAATTGTTATAATCCCCAGATATATGCAAATTAAATGCCTTTTAATTTGGCTTCGCCCAGACGGGTTAATAAATATTCCGTTTTGGTCGGAGGCAAACATAAATTCTGAACTTTTTGGTTACAGGCCAAAAGCACACGAAACATAACACACAACAAAGTATCTATAGGATATAGTTGAGGCACAGCCAAATATTGGGCTGCAGAAATCAGGAAACGTGAAATATTTACATAATTACTTGACAACCAGATAAACGATCAAGCTCTGACCAAAATCTCATTGAAAACCCCAAACGTACAAAGTAGAGTACACAGACCCCAGCGATGAGGCAGAGTCGTGGAATTCGCAACGTCAACTGAAGTGAATATCAACGAACGACCTTCAACATGAAATGCGACGTAAAATAAATTTATCTCAATTATATATAAGCAACTAGATCTATATATACGGTCGACTCTCGGGCGAAAATCGGACGAGTAACTTTCAAGACGGCCAGTGAGAGATTCTTTCGCGCCTGACTGTTTGATTTACATTCACCTTGGCAGCGCAGTACGAAAAATCCAAAGCGAAATACAAATTTATTTTTGAATATTTTCGGTTAACGGTGGCGTAAAAAAGAAATGAAAAATGTTTCCCACCAACGAGATTCCTCAGTAAAATGAACGTACGAGATAAAAAAATATCTTATCGATTGTGTACCTCAATTTTATTTAAGTTATTTAAATGATTAATTTAAGTATTTGTTCTAAACAAGCATTTAAAATAAATAATATATTTAATTATACTTTTTAATTTAACCACTAAGATAATTAATTTTAATACATAAAGTGTATTTATCTAAAATCTTCTTGATGAAAATGTTAATAGAGATTTCTTATAAAAATATCCATACATTTTGTCCTTCCTATAAATCTTTACTGTAAGCTGCAATAATCGTCTTTATAAAGAAATATGTGTATTTCGTTCATCTAATGACGCCACAATCAGGCGCTGGCCAGCATTTTTATGCAGATTTCTTGTTTAAATATTTATACAATATCGGCGTGCTTTCTCTGGCTCCAGAGCAAACAATAAAAGCTGGAAAATGTATAAAAACGAACTACATTTAAAATATAATAGGACATGCTGCATGTTGTTTGATTTATTTCGACTAGAGTTTGTGTAAACAAAAACTGGGAAAATATAAAAATATTTTTATTAAAAATCCACGTGTTTGGTTTTCCCTGCGGTTAGGTAATTTCCGCTGTAAATGCTTTCATTTCCTTCCCGATTAAAGTGACTTTTTTCGAAAGACTTCCCCTAATTGACCAGACCAACTGGGGAAAGGAAATTGAGCAATCAGCTTTTGCGCCATTAGCACATACATAATTCAGCTGAGACAAACGCAAGATACACCTGCACCGGCAGAAATGGGAAAAAAGGTTGGCCAATCGGTCAGGTTGCCACCTTTGCCGCAGGCAGACAAGTATTTCCGTTTGTTGTTATTTGCCAATTTGGGAAAACTGCCTGGCGTAACCCTTTTTTTCTTCCATTGCCCACACTGTGGATTGGATGGCACTAAATCAGGAGGACTCTGTGGGGGCTTTTCCCACTGCCTCCTCGTGTTACGCGTTCTTTTTTCGTTCTGGTCTCTTTTCATTTTTGAAATTGCCCGACGCTCGACATTTTTCCCGCTACGAGAATTTTCCCCTTAACCATTTCCTGCCGGTCCAACTACTTGACACTTCCTTTTTCCCTTCGGAGGTTTAGGGTTTTCGACTTTCCATTGTCTTCGGCTGCCTAAGCCACTGTAGATACTGTTACCACAGTTTTGCAAACGCTCAGTGGGTGTGACATTTATCCTTCATCGTCTGCGCTTCCCTCTGGCTTTCATTTCAACTTTAATGCGGCAGGCAAAAAAAAAAAATACTATATATATATATATAAATTTGGCCCCTCTTTTGTTTTATGCGTGAAATTTATTGTTTCTGACAATGGAAACGGCGTCGCAAATGTTTCCTGATCACAGTGCGCCTTATCTGGGCCCCCTTTTTTTTTTGGGCACGCCCCCACTTTTCCGCTTTTGCAACAGTCATGGCCGTATTTTATTGAAATTCATGTATTTTTAAAAGCCCACTGCCCCTGGGATGCGGCTCTAAATCGTTTAAGCATTTGTTTCCACCATTCACAGCTTGATTTCGCCAGATCCATTCTGCAATTGTGTTCGGCTTGGTTTTTTATCTGTGCATAAAAGTTAATGTTTTGCATCGGCATCAGTATCATGGGCCGAAAATGTTTATTGTTTTGGCCCTTTATTAAAGCGTAGTTAACTGCTGATAACTTGAATGGCCAAAAAAAGGGAAAAGAAACGAGGGATCGAAAACAGCTGCTAAGCCATAGATTTGTGTTGATTTGATTTGTCTATTTGCTGTTTGGCTTATGGAGGATTCACGAGAAATGGCAATCGAAAGAGTTATCAGTGTAATTTCTGTCGAGGAATATACAATAATTACACTTAGCAATTTGACACATCTATCAGGCCCACCTATTGTACATGTATGGAATATATATATATAGATAACCGTTGACAACGACCCTTATCACCGGTGATACACAACACGATACGCTGCGTTAACTGCCATATTCCCGCTATTCGAACCCTTATCGGAGTCTTTTTTTGGATTTTGCAGCAATTTGTAGACTTACCACCTTCCGGCTCTGAGTCATCTATATAGATCATATTGCTGCGTCGCTTGCCGCTAATATTCCGCAAACGTTGACCCGTTGTGCAGTTGCTGGTTTTACCAAATTTTCCACTATATTTTCTTTACACTTATTCTTTGACGCTTGCTGTTTACTTGCTTTTTTTTCCACAATACTTAATGGCATCTATAATTATTCATCACTTAACATTTTGCGTGCTAGCTTCACTTCACTTATTGCATGGGATCTCGAAAATATTTGGTTTTGCGCACTTAAAAAATGGCACAAAAGAACGATTCTTTATTTATAGCTGGTCGGCCGCGCACCACGTTGCGTATGCTTGATATTAGCGCAAAATTCGTTCGCCAGCGCCACTATTCAGCTATTGTGTCATCGCGAGCGAGCGTTTTGCCTCAAACTGTTTTGGCCTGGCCGAACATTATTTGATTTGAGCTGTTTTTGCTGCTGCTGTTTCTGCTGTTTTTGCCTTTTGCCAATACGGCGTATGTGTGTTCCTTTGTGGTTATAAATGTGTTTTCGGCTGATAACTGCGGCACTGAGAGAAATGGTCGATCGACTCTCTCTTGTATATGTATCTATAAATAAACAAACACAGGCACAAACACAAATGTACGGGGGCAAACCTCAACTGCATATATACACTCCTATTTGTATTGGCGTTTGTCTGTTTCGATTCGTATAAAAATAAATTGCAGAGCAATTTGTATGCTCCGCTCTTTTTCGGCTTGTCGCTCATTTTGCGGCTTGTTTTTGTACGCGAATGAAAATTATTTTCCCTGCTGTCGTTTAGCACATTTTCTACAGTTTTCCCATTTTCTTTTTGGCAACAGAACAACCAAATGTGACATTGTGTGTGTGCTGTTTTATTTGCAGATCTGTCGGTGCTATATGGACTTGTATATGGATGCTTCCTATTCCCAGTTTGTCACTTTTTCGCAACTTGTTGCCGTTTAAAAATCCCTGTGGCTTGTTTTGGTCGGAAAAGGTCTTAGGAATAAAATGATCATATAATTACAAATTTAGGGTACAACAAAAAAAGTATGATTTCACCAAGATAACAACAAATAATTTATGACTCGCTGGGAAGTACTATATATAAAAGCCTGTTAAAATTGATTGTGCTTTATCAAGTGTAATGATTTTTATTAGGCACAATTCATTATCTTAAATTGTAAAACATTCCGAAATGCTGAGTTCGAATCTAAAACTGAAAATCATTTCCCTACTTTGTGTATTCATAAATTGGCTATTTAGCCAGCTTAATATCATTGGCATACGATTCTCCAACAAATTAGTTGGCATCCCATAATCTTTGGCATTTCTTAATCTTACAAAATCTCTCGTTAAACATTCCCGAAACAAGTGCATAAATTCCCATTATATGTACAACAAGTGTGAACTATAAATAATGGCAAAGCGGGCAATTATCTAGCCTCGTTATTAAATTACGCTAGTCTATATTTATATGGGTTACCGGTACGTGGACCCCGTTTCCCCGTTGCGGTAGACTCTAGCCGTATCTTATCAAACGGAAGAAGGCCTAATGACCGGACGCGCCGGCAACGACGTTGGGGGAATAAAAGGCCATGCGTCATGGTCACACATGAAGTCAAACATAAATAGATGAGGAGAGCGCCTACACAATGGGACATATAGTTCCGAAACCGAACAGAATGGTTTTCCACTTAATTATTGCATTCTCTGGTTTCAAAAACAAAAAATAAATAATACAAAAAGAAATTCCAATTTTGCCAATAATATAATATTAATGATAAGTAGGCTTGCCTTTAACATTATTTTTTGCTGTGTGTTTCCTAGGCTGCCTGTCTGTCTAATTGGTGTGTGTTTGGAGTGGGAGGGGGAAAACTTAAATCCCTTTAAGAGCGCCGCCAGTGGTCTGTTGTCCGTCTGCGTTATAAACAATAACAACGGCTGAGCCGCAAGCGAACAAACCGAAGCCTTGGCCATAAAATTACGTATACGCCCGGCTGGCAGCTGCAGCCATAGAACTTCCCACTTTCCGCGTCCCAATTTCCCAGCGCCATATCCACTCCACTGCAATCCACTCCACTCCACACCGCCGCCGATTCGGTCAGTCGCCTTGGCCAGCAGCAAAAGCAAAGGCAAAGGCAAATAAACAAAACGGCTGCCAGGTCGAGCCACTTGATGCGAACGTGCCCAGACAACGGTGTGTGGCTGGGAAACGTGTGCTCGGAACCCATCCTCATCCCAGGTAGCACCACCACCATCACCATCACCATGACCATTCCTGGCTTTTAAGTTTTAGGCCAGAGTCCAGGGCAACAGACTGGCTGCCGAAAACTAAGCTGCGTTTTGATTTGCACACGGCCAAGTGACCAAGAGCCGTTGGCTTAAAATTGGTTTGGCCAGCAGATCTCACGGCTTTTACCGCACGGACTTCCGCCTTTGGCTGCGCTTTGAATAATGCAAATCCCTTAAATGCGCTAAACGCAGCTGGCTGTCGCTCCTCCTGATTTGTTTTGCTTCGATCGAAAACTGCGATGGCGGCACGTTTTGTTTTAGATAATGCCCTACCTTGGGGTTCAGCTACTATCGGATGAAATCAACAAATTTCTTTTTGCCATAAGAAATTTTTAAAAACACTCCATCTTATTCTAAAATTACTTGTCTATAATATATCTTTGTATCTTTCTGTTATTTTGGTCTGTCTATTTCAAAAATGCTTCAAAGTTAAGTGTTTAATTCAGTGAGATTGGCGTTTTAGAAATGAACTACCTTTTAAATAATATGTTTAAATCTTTTATTTAAATTTTTGTATTTTTTAATGAATACATGACTTATTTAAATATACTTAAAAAGCATTTAGCTTTCTGCGTAACGAAACGCTTTTCAATGTTAAAAAACTGATGTGTACCCAGAAAGCAATGTAAATTTGATTGGGAAAACTTTAATTAAAATTGAATAATAAATTTATCTCAGGCAAGCGCAACGAAAGTTCTTCACACGATAACAAAAACTTTTCACTACAGTTTAGTTGATTTGATGTTTTGTTGTTTTGCATGTCGTTGTCACTGCAGTTTATGTTGCTCCCTTTTGTTATTGTTTTTGTGTTTGTTGTTGGTTTTTGCTCGGATTTCGCACCTTGCCGGCCAGGCTAAAATGCCACCGTTATTGGGGAATGATGTTTTAGTTTGGTTGGTTGTTTTAGGGGCACACCAAATTGTTTAGATGCCCTGACGCAACTATATTTTTTTCAAGTTTGGCATGGGCTTTTTCACCTCCAATTCCAATTCCGCCAATAAACTTTTCACCTTTTCACAAATGTTTACATATCAATGCGAATCTCCTTTCCGTGTGATGCTTTGGAAAAAGGGTTAAATTCAGCCACTCGACACACGACCCGTCGTCACTTCTCGCGCTCATTGCACGCGCAACTGTTTCGGTATGTTCGAAAATTTTTCTCAACTTCAGTCTCGTTTTTGGGGGAATATTTTGGCTCTAGGCAACAACGCCTCGTTGCGCTATTTTCGTGCTTTTTTGTTCCCGTTCGTTTCGAAATGAGTTTTCCCCCGATTTTCGTCGAGTTTTCCGCGGCGCAACATGAAGTCAATGTGTTTACCTCGCTAAACTTCTTTGCGTGCTAATAATAAACCAGCAAACAACAAACAGCAACAGCCGACAATCGGACTTCGGCAACTGCAACAACGCAGCATTGGTCCATTAGCCCCGTTTTTCATTTTCCATTTTCCGCCAGTGGGAGGAGTAGGGTGGTGGTGTGCATTTTCCCTAGAAATTACGTGCGGAGGAACAGGCAAACTGGACTGGCTCAAAAAATGTAACATAGCTAGTAATGGATTTTGGATTTTAACCTTAATGAATATCATAGTATAATTGCGAAATATTTGTTATCCATTTGAATCTTAACCATGGCAATTAAATCATCTAATTATTGATAATGTTGTTATTATCTTATTCAAAACAGTTGGCTGTTCAGAGATGGTGATAATCAAAAAAAGATAAAATTTTATGGTGTACCGACATGCAAAATGTTAACTTACCAAAATATATAAAAGCCAAGCGGACAATTGAGTTGCAGTTTCAAAAACTAAAAATTAAATACAAAGTCAAAATAATGTGTTTTAAATACATGGGCTTCCCGCTGCTCCTGGTATTTAGCACTTTGGTAGGTGTACTTAAACACTCTAGAAGTCTTCTAAAGGATTTGTCCTTTAGGGACTGGTACGAGCTGCGTTGGAAGTTCGTATGGAATTTATCACAAAAATTGAAGGAGACTCTGAAACGCTGTTTGAATTCAACTATCGACTTCTCGGACGTGAACACCTTCTGAACGGGACAATGGTTTTCCACGTCGACTTGGGTAATGAATTCGAATTGTCAAACGAATTATTTTATCATCACGATGGAGCGTGGTGGCCCTCGACTCTTGGCGTTTGTTTTAAGACCTGCGCATATTTGAAGACTATTTATGACAAGTATTTTGCGCTTTCTTCTAAGGACTCAAATTTTCCAAGTGGTACCTGTCCAATCAAAAAGGGTGAATATTATGTAAGAAACGTAGGTGTGTCCGCCGATTCTTGGGCACAATATACCAAAACTGGTTTAACCAAGTTCATATTGAAGATAAAAAAGAAAAACATAGTATATGGTGGATTTGAAGCTATTTTAGTTTTAAAAGAGAAAAACACCTAACTTGGTTTTCGATTACCACATCCAAAAAAATATCATAGAAACAAAACTATTGGATATGAAAAATATATAAAATGAGTATTCCAATATTTCTACGAACGTATGGAAATAAAACCCATGTGGCTTAAAAATAAAAGGACTACTGTTTTGAGCTCATCATTAAATTTCCTAATTTATATGGACCTTACTATACTATGATAGTATTGGTACAAAGAAAATTAATTAATACTTAAATTTAAAGTTCGAAATTCTAAAAAAAAGACTAAAAAGGTTTTTAATTTTTTTGGGGCTTAGATTGCCTATTGGAAAACAAAAACATATCAAAGAGAACCATAAGAACGTGTTAATTAAATTTGATTTCTTGTATTCCATTCTGCTTTCCGATTTTTCGCCATCGGCCTTGCGCTCTGCATTCCACCCACTATCCGGCCAAAATAAAATTAGCAATCATTTCAAATTTTCTGGTCTTTCTTCTTGGCTCTCAACATCCAGTTTTTCCGTTTTCAGCTGCCACGATCGAATTTATTTTCTAGGTCATTAATGAAAAATATGCAAAGCACGCAGACAAATGGCTAAATAAATTATTTAATTCGAAGCGATTGTAGTGCGTCCGAATTATCCGCTATACGGTGGCTATATGGCTTTATAGATATAGTGCTTTGTGCTGACTCTCTAAGGTCGCCGGCGAGTCGTTCGTTGACTGTTCTTCTTTTCTTGCTGGCGCCGCTGTTTATGACACTTCCCATCAGAGCATATATTTTTGGGTATTTAGATATACATTTTGGCATTAAATATAAACGGCATTTGGCCTTTACACGGCTCGTTGACAGCCAGAGATCAATGTTAGAGTGGAACTTGTGAGCCAGACGGGCCTTGCTGCTTGAACTTGCGACAAAGTGGAGCAATGACTCGGATTCTTTTGTACCTGGTGTCTTTTGCATACGTATATTCTATATATATATACATATGTATATATATGTAGTTTGTTATGCACTCTTTATTTTGTGGACTTCCGGCGAGACTTGTTTACGTCTAACTGGCCGAACGCGTAAACAAATGCACAGGTGAGTCGTATTTTTAGCCAGAACACGGCCTATTTCAATCGGATTGGATTGAATTGAATTGGATTGGATTGGTGGCGTCAGTGATGCGGGACTTCATCTGCCTGATTTGCGTTTGCTTGTAAATACATTTAATTGGCAGTCTGGCAGCTGAGTGCCTCGTTTATTATGAAAGAAACATGCAGATTTATTTCTGGCGTTTTCAACTGTCAAAGGCAAATGGACTTGGGGGCAACTGGGTTTTTATTTCAAAAGATGGAGAAGTTTTGTGGCTAACCGCAAAACAATTAAATTTGATTGCCTTTTAAACCCTTTTGTGGAAGGAACAGAGGAACGTGCGCCGCACACTCGACTTTTCTAATCCTCAACGGCAAGTTTTGTATCTCGGCACGTACGCTTCGCCACGCCTACTTTTCACTCCCAAAAACTCCCTCTCCCACTCCCCATTTTCCATTTCCCATTTCCACCTGGCATTCATTCCTCGGACTCAGCTGAACTGTCATGAATTGTAAGGAATTTATTTTACCACAAGGACTGCTGTTTGATGTTGTTTGTGGAGGCGTTCAGGGATTTGTTTTGGCCAAGGGAACACTGTTTATTTGCCTTCGATTTTAACTTAAAGTCCCATTTCATTGAGGGAAATTTCGCATTGTTTAAAAGCGAAGATGCCTCAGCACATTGGTATGTAAAAATAAATATTTAAAGATTGCCACTTCCACTTGATGGCGTCATTTCGGCGCGTTTGAGCAAAAATTGTTGTGAGAGAGAGGACTTCAGATATAAATACGAAAATACAGGGAGCATGGAAATTGAGTGCAGCACCCAAAAGTCGGTCATGAAAAGTTTTTCAGCGGGAAAAACGATATACAGGGAATACGAAATGGCCTGAAAAGCCATGCGAAAGAGAGAGCATTTTTAAAGGGTTTTAATTGGTAAATTGTTTACTGCAAACAAGTCTGCAACTAACCAAATTAAATGATTTTTTCCAGATTTTCACCTCTCGAATTTTAAGAGTACAAATTCAGATCCTAGAAGGCGTGGCCACATTAATATGCGAACGTGCAGCTTCAAATAATAGAACCTTTGCATGCAATTTGGGGCGAGTGCAGCAACGCAGCAGCCATAAATTTAATGCAAGACAAACAATATGACGTCTGAAAGGGGCGTGGCAGGCCGGTGCCAGGGGAAAAAAAATCTCATCAACGAGCTGCAGCTAAACGAGAAGAAATATTGAATGCAATTTTATTTGCCACACACCGCTGTACTACAGGGCTCCCAAGCAGCAGCAAAGCGTTCGGCGCACTGCCGGGTGCATTATGGAAATGCATCATATTATTCCTCAGCTTCTGCTCCTGCTGCAGGATAACCTCCTGCAGGATAACCTGATGCGGAATGTGTGAGAGCGTGCGTGTAACTATGCTACTTACTGTCTGTTTGCTTTGGGGACCACGACTGCCAGACGCACACATATGCACTGGTAACAAAATATGACAGCCATCCATAAAGAACTTGTCGTTAAAAAAATAATAAACGAAAAATTTAACTTCCTTTTCATGTCACTAAAATAATGCCAAATATTTTGAACAAAAAAATTGTATTTAGTATGAATAGGTAAAATGTAAGTCCAGTGATTTATTTATCCAGCACTTTGCTTTGTTGAAAAATTGCCTAAAACCACAAGAAATCAGAAATCCAATTTCGAAAAGCTTACCTCCTTAGGTTTGTGTCTTAGTTTTCTTAAAATCTGCGTTTAAATTTTGCTTTTAAAATGTATGTCGCCATTTTAGTTGCCATTTCCAACTGTCAACTCTCCACCAGACTTAAGGCTTTACATTTTTTCTAGGTGTATTACTTAGAGCCACGTGGCCATAACAAATAGATATAGGGAGCCAGAAAAAAGAAGAAACAGGGAAATCTTACACATATTCTAAAGAGGCCAGGGAACCGCGTGAATGGAGCCGGGCGCGACCTTAAGGGTGCTTCCCATTTTTCCCACCGAACTCGAGTTTTTTGCCAACCGCATGCAGCTTGATAAAAGACGCAGTCATGGTAACTCAAACCCAAACCCAAACCCAAACTCAAAGCCACCTGCCACTGAATGAGTTAACGTGCAGGCATGTGGAGGCGCCATTCCATTTTCCAGTTTCCACCTGCAAAAACCTCCTTCGATGTTTGTTTGTTTGGCTTTGCCTGTTTACGTGCAGTCATGCGAGACTCCGGCCCAGTCCCCGACTTTTCAGCTGATGCTGGAATCTGCTTCAATTGTTGTCTGTCTCCGAAGGACCAGCTCTGTATCTCATCAAAATCCAGTTTAAGATTTTTGATTTAATTCCGCCTTTGTTTGGCAAGTTGGTTACTGCTCATGCCATGTGTATCTAGAGTCTAGAGCTTAGATTCGCCCAGGCAAATTTGTTTATGCCCGTCAAAAGGCTGACTCTGCCGGCGACATATGAACATGTGAAGGATCCACTTGGACCGTCTAGCATTTGCTTGGATCTCAGTTGAAGAGAACATCTTTTTAAAAGGTTGTCCAATCCAAAGCCTAGAACTGCAAGTCGAAAATTTAATAAATTTCGAGAATAACAATAAAACTATAAGCTATTAGCTCTTAACTACGTTGCTTGTATTTTGCAACCAAAACGAAAATAAATTTAATAAAAGTTAGCCAATCAAATGCAATGAACTAACACAATAAATATAATAAAAACTTTCCACTGCACAGAAAGAAATTCCTATTTACATATGAACAGAAGTCATTTCAAACGAAAATAAATTTGAAAAAGTATAATATTGTAATAATAGTTAATAATAATTCTAAGAGAGGACTCAAAAATAAAATCATTAGTTTTATTGCAAAATAAAATAATCGAGTTTACTTAATAATCAATTTAGTTTACAAAATAATAAAATATGCACAATATGAATATCTAAAACGTGGATTATCAAGAAACTAAATATATGTATTACTTCAAACAGCATAGTTTTTTCCATCACTGTAGAAAGAAAGTATTACCTTAACCAGAATTTGTTATTAAATTGTATTGAAAACGACAGGTAGGCAATGTCAATCGTATTGCTGGCTGAACTGGAATTTACCAAATCAAATTAAGCACGCTGCAATGGGCAGCACGAAAATATTCCGCAAATTGCAGCAGTTTGTGGCCATAAAAGAGCCCCAACGAAGAGTAAGTGACAAAACAATAGTTGTGTAGCTGGCACAGCACAAATCAAATCACGACCAATTAGTTGTAATTCAATTGCAGACAGTCGCCGTCTGAATCGTTCTGTCCCCTTCCCTGTCCGATGTCCGATGTCCACTGCCCACTGTCCACTGTCCCGCTGTCCACCTTCCACATGTTTGGGTCCTAATCCCCTTAGGGAACCTGGCGAAAACTTGTTGATACTGTATCTTTATGCCGGCGGTCAGCCTTCGACCCCTCGCTCGCCATTCATATATAAATATAACACATACGTTTTAGTACATGGATCCAACGCAAGTTGTAGGGACAACCTCCAGGTGTATCTATATCTATGCGCTGGCTGACAAATATTTGACGTTTTAGTCTAATTAAATTAGCCGCAACGCCGCTCGACCCTCGGGAAAGGTATACATTTCAGAGCGTTAGTCGCAGCGTGTAAATTTCGCAGGTGCCACACGTTTGCGGTGCGTCGCGCGTTGAAACTCGGCGGGTTTTCCCCCTACAAAAAAAAAAAAGAAAACTAAAACCAAAAATATTAATAAATAAAAAAAATCAAATAAAGAAATAACAATACAACAACATTGTACAGGAAGATGTAACTCGCTCGTTCGGTGCCTTAACGTATTGCCATAAAATAATATACACACACAATTCATATTCTTAGTCCCTCACCTAAGCCGGTCACATGAAATTTCAACGTCCATTGTGCCAGCGAGTTGAACAATTGCACACGTTTTTATGTGCCGGAATGCAAGAAGTACGTATCCGTACGGTTATAAGTGGCTTAAGTGCAGTCCGTGAGCCAGCTGAATAATGTAGTTATATCCTTCATTCATTGTGCTCCGGCTCCAGCTCGAGGTCCAGCTGCCTTGATTGTAAACTTTGCAACTGTGTGTGAGCCGGGTTTTGTGGCCTGGTCTGTGACCACTCTGGTTCTCGCTTAAACTTGACTGCCATCGCGATAAGCTCTTGGTTTTTATGAACTCCATAAACTATTTCAAATTCGTTTAAGTTTTAATGAACTCCAGTTCTCTAGTGACAGAATTATGATACTTCGATCGCCTTTTACGTAAGGAAAATCAGGAAGTGAAACCAATAAAATACAATTCAATTGGATACAAGTACATTAAGATTAATGTTTGCCACACCGTTTACACTAAATTTTTTGGCAACAAATCGTTTTACAATATTACTGAGAAAATCAGACTTTTTCCAGTGCATACGTTCAGGTGAACAACTGTAAATCCATAAGCTCTAGGTTTTTTGAACTTAACTATTTTAAAATCGCTTAAGTTTTAATGAGCTACAGTAACAGAATAATGATACTTAGAACGTCTTAAGTAATACTCCCTTTACTTACACTTAGAAAATCAGGATGTAATACCATAAGGATACTAATCAATTGGATATAATAATATTAAGGTTAAGGTTATCACACCGTTAAATGTGGTAAATCCAAAACTAAACGTTTTGTTTGTTTTTTACAATATTACTGGGAAAACCGCATCATTTCCAGTGTATTTGCTTCGGGTGAACAGCTATAAATCCATTTATAAACGCTTCCCATGAAACGGCAGATAAAACCGAATTTATTGTGACATTTTTATGTCCGTCCGTGTATTTACCTGTCCTCCGCACTTATATTTCTATTAAGTTAATTAAACAATGCACCATCGGCAGGCCACTGTGGCGGTCCGAATATACTTTTGTCCGGAGAGGAAGTATTATTTTTTTTTTTTGGAGCAACTCCCATGATGGGTCGCTATTTTTTCTTGCCGCATATGCAAAGCACTTGCATTTTTTATGACCAGCCCAAACACTTTTAAATGCATCTGCAACATCCGTATTCGCATTCGCATTGGCATTCGCATCCGCAGGAGCCAGTTTAAAGCAAAAGCATGTAGACAGGATGCATTTTTTCATTGCGGATTACAGATTGGTGGTGCCGGTGCCGAAAAAAAAGCTACTTAAATATTCATTTTGCCATTGTTCACACATGCGGCGAGGAGCAGCGGAAAATAAAAATTATTGTAGCCGCTCTAGAGCGAAAAGAAATGCAGAAAATTATTTCTAATGGGAAACCGATTGGCGGTGATGTATACAATCAATCGAGAGCCGCCAATATTAATACAAATTGCAGCTGGCCGTGGCTAATAAGGAAAATGCATGTGAAAATGCAAATCAAAACAGAAAAAGTGATTGAACAATAAGTAGTGAAATAAGTGCTCGCGAAAATATAATTAGTGTGGCCTTAGAGTTTCGTGCGAAAAGTCAGGAAATAGTGTACACAAATTCCTAATCAACTCACGAAATTTTCAAACTTAAATCTTGGCACTTAAAAAGGACTTTGCCAGCTTGGCCAAAAGTAAAAAAAATAGAACATTATAAACAGCTTAAATATAAACTTTTTGGACGCCACGGGAAACCAGAGACCAGAAACCATAAACCAAGTCGAAAACCAGCAGACACACACAGAATACAGACTCAGTTGGACATAACTATAAACTATAAAAGCAAAATCAACTTGAAAGTTGCATTTGGTCCGGCTTAGTATTGGACTTTTTTGGCTTAGCCATTGTGTATATATAAATATATGTAGCTATATGTAAATATCGTGCAGCTTTCAATGCGTTTGTGCTAAGCCCTGCGACATGGAGCCGGAGTTTTGAATTTTGAGCTCCAAACTGTGAACTCTGAACTCTGAAACCTGAAACCTGAAACCTGGACGTAGTGCATAGTGCACAGTACATGGAATATTAATTACTCTCGGCTTTGTGTTAAGTGAAGTGTTTAGTTCTCAGAATGGGCCGCAAAAAGAAGCTGCCAGCGGGCGTAAGTAGAAAACCAGAGTCGATCGAAATAAGAAGAAATCACCTCTTAAAGCTGCCAGCATTAGCTTAAACGATGCTCACCTTAAACGCTGTCCTGCCATTTAAATGGAAGCCAGACAATCCCAAGCCCAGCATCCTCCACTTTGCACTTAATTTTCTTGTGTGTTTATTTTTTATTTATTTGCAATTCCGCAAACACGATTTCCCCGCCACATACATATAGGTACATGCCTGTGTGCTACCCGTACTCAACTGTTTCACCAGTCTCACCAGTCTCACCTGTTTTAAATATGCCAGGTATCGTCTGGCGGCAACGACTCCTCCGCCCCCAAATCGGTGGGCGGGTGCTGTGTGCCGCTGGGATTGCCGCAACCTTTGCTCCTCGAGGAGAAGAAGTTCCTGCTGGCAGTCGAGCGGGGCGATATGCCGAATGTGCGCAGGTGAGTAGCGCTTTTTACGCCTCCGATGCCGATTAGGCGGGGGCAATATCAGATCCCGAAAGGGAAAGATACACCCAGAGAAAAAAAAATAAAAATAATACTAATAGGTTTTACGCGCTCACAGAAATCTTTGCGATCTATAATTATCAAGCCATAAAGCTTTTTATACTTAAATGATTATTTACGAATTGTTTGAGTATATAAAAGTTGGTCCAAAAGGGTTAATTTTATTTTGTTTACTATTCCCTTACAAAATATAATATAGCAATATTAATAAATTTATACCAAGAGTAAAAAACATTTATTGCACTAACTTTTGGTTGCTTTCAATATATGTATGTTCTTTGCCTTCATTTTTAAAAATGCTTACATTATTTCTGTTAGTGTACTTGTCTCCTCTTCTAATCCACTACTCTACGGTTTTTTTACGGGGTATCATGAGTTCCATTGGGGAAACACAGGTGTTGACTGGGTTGTGCTGCCGCCCAGGTAGCGTAAATCCCTTTGGGAGCCACCTTCGGATGTTTGGATGTTTGGGTGTGGTGCCAGTGGTGCCAGTGGTGGTGGTTTCAATTATTTGCACAGTCTACAGCCAACAACCCACCGACGCCTGCGGGCCTCAAATGGTTACCCAACTCGTGTATTCTACATGCCACTTAATAAGCAATACAAGGACTCCAACGCAGATACTTTACGCTCGTTTACGGCTTTACTTTAAAAATTTACAATTAATTTCGTTTGTCGGCAATGAATATGAGAAAAGGCACATGCTCTCTCTTACTCTCCCTTTTAAATTAGATTTAAATTAAATCAGGAGTGGTTAATTTTTATGAATCGAAAACACTACCCAAATTTAGACATGCCTGGATGTCGTTTATGAACAATTCTTTATTGTTTTCATTGGTTTGGCGAGATGATAACAACAAGCAAATGTGTGGTGTTGGGTGTCCTTGTTTCTGTTCCTGTTGCTTGGAGGCATGCATGGTGTCGCCACAAACTGGCATCTTATGTGGATTGTGGTGCTGGTGATCCGAATCCTAATACTGGATCTAAGTGATTCTACCTGGGAGTACGAGGACGGGCGATGCGATGTGGGTGGATATGTGACGCCGATGGCGATGGTGAAGGCTTTGGTGATCTGGGGACACTTAAAATTGGATAAAGCGGTACGGGTTGTAGCTTTTCATCTCGTCCAGGGTATAGCGGTATCGGATGCCCTTCGAGGGCTCCTCCTCGGAGCCATTGGAGTCGCCCTCCTCCTCGTCGTGGATCTCGTTGAGTCGCTCCACCCGGATGCCCTTCATCTGGCAGGCGCGGCGATACAGCTGCTCCTCGCGATCCATGTAGAACTGGCAGGACAGGGCGTGGTGCGGAATGGACGGCGGATGGGCCATCAGATGGGCCCCGAATGGAGCACCACCTGGGGCGCCAAAGGCCGCCGGGGAAAACCAGTTGTTGGCTAGTCCGCCACCGGCCACCAGCTTCACCGTTTGGGTTTCTATGGGATTGTGGGATTGGGCAACAGTTGCAAGTAGTTCTATGGCCAACAGACCCTTAGACTTACCCTTGTTCTTCTGGGCCATCTTGATGACCAGGCTTTGACCCTCGGCCGCTTCCATTTGGTATCGATTTTGAAGAATCCTTTTGGGGCTTACGAATAATTTAATCGCCTAATGTACAATTCGTACAATTTGTAATTTTGTACAACAATTTGTGTTGACGAACGATCGTAAAATGAGAGATTTATGCACTTAGTGGCTGGCAGATGACAACAAATTGTGACAGTTCAACGCCAGGGTAACTAGATTTCGATTTTTTTATTCCCCCAGCAGCAGTGTTGGAAAAAAGTACATTACTGAACTCTCCACCTTATTCTGGCCTTTTTTTTTTGCCAGCTGGGCAAACAGAATCGATATGAGTTCCTTTTTTTGGCTCCGGATTGATTGGCAAAGTTTTTTGTTGGCCGCGGCCGCGATGTAATTAGAAACTTTGGCTCCAACTTTTGACTTGACAGAGGAAATGGGAAGGGGAAAAGGGAGGTCCACCCCGAAAATACCGAAAAGAAAAGTTATGACGAAGCTCGCTCAATTAGCAGCAATGCCGGCCCCTTTAATAAGTAAATTCCAATAATTGCAGGATCCTGCAGAAGGCGCTGCGCCATCAGCACATCAACATCAACTGCATGGACCCCTTGGGCCGGCGAGCCCTCACCCTGGCGATAGACAACGAGAACCTGGAGATGGTCGAGCTGCTCGTCGTCATGGGGGTGGAGACCAAGGACGCCCTGCTGCACGCCATCAATGCGGAGTTCGTCGAGGCCGTGGAGCTGCTGCTCGAGCACGAGGAGCTCATCTACAAGGAGGGCGAACAATACGTAAGTCACTCCGCAGGCACTTAAAGAAATTATGCGCCACTGCATGTCAAATTTAGAAGATTTGTAGGAAAATATAGTCGTTTTATTTTGCCTAAAGTCATTATATAGGGAAAACAGCCAAATTGAAAATAAAATAGTCTTAAAATACCATTAGCCTTTTTTTATGCCTGCTTTTATGCATTCCAAACTTCTTGGACACTTTTTTAACTAGCCAACACTGGCAATTAAAAATATGAGTAAAGGAAAAAATAAATGTTTGTTCTACAAAATATAAAAATCCTTAAAAATTCTTAAAAAAAATTACAACTTTTGATTACTTGGTTTAATATATCACCATTGTGATCAGTAAAAATTACAACGACAAAATTACAATGTCTTTGAAACTAAAAAATGTTTTAATTAGAAAGGCAGCAGTTTTTCTATCTGTATATAATTCGTTTTGTCTGCTGTGCTCAGCTAATTTGTGGCCCACATTGTCGTCTGTGGGCGGTTTAGGCCCGGTAAGTTGAAGCTAACACGATTTTAATCAGTTTCCGTGTGAGGGGCTCTGGGTGTTTGGGTGTTTGGAGTGCTCGAAAGGGTCTCATCCCGTTGGGATCATCTTCGCCATTGGGCACGTACTCGCAGCATCTCAACTCTCGAGCGATTGGGAGTGTGCGATAAGCGGCCAACGACCAAGAACCCCCCTCCGATGCGCCCACTCCTTCAGGACTTTGAGGACATTCAGGACATCCAGTACCTCCCCGGTATAAGGTTTACGCTTATTGCGAATAAAGTCGTCTGAGCCTCCGTCGGGCTCATATTTATGCACACAGGCACGCTTCATTAGGCAGCCATTGGGCGCTGTTGGAGCGTGAAAATTACTATTGTAGCGCATATGCAATAAAACGTTTAACAGGCTTAATAACATCCACAAGCGATGAAGACAACGCTCTTAGTTTGGGACTCTGAACAGTTGCTGGAATGTTTTCGGGTCAATTTTGAAAGAAGTCGGCCACCGAGATTGATAAACCTTAGAGTGGTCTACAAAGCAAATGAGAAAAATATGAAGAATGCTGTCTGAATAGGTCGAAATGTGTTTTCAGGACCACGTACATTTTTTATCCAATTTAAGTTAAATAAATAATGCATTATTTAAAACTATTAGATATCCTTTAATCAGCTAAAAATATTAAAATTTATAATAATAACATTAATTAATAGTTAGTAGGATAAATATTAATATTTTTTATGAATCACCTGTTGTGAATAGATTTATTTATAAGTTTTTTAACTTTGGGAGATAGGCCAAAAAATTTTCAATTTACAAATTACCTTTTTACTCTATTAGTAGTGCAATAATTACTATTTTAATTTTTTTATTGAATGCAATTGGATTCCTTAGGCTTTATATGTAGACATTAGTGGGAGTGCTATATAATATTTAAATTTTAAATTTAATATTTAATTTAAAATGTTCTTTCCCCAGAGTTGGCAAAAGGTTGACATCAACACGGCAATGTTTGCGCCGGATATCACCCCTTTAATTCTGGCCGCCCACAAGAATAACTTTGAGATACTGCGAATTTTGTTGGATCGCGGAGCAGCAGTGCCCGTGCCACATGATATACGGTTAGTTGAAAAAAGATCTATAGTACATACCCCATTATTTAATGGTGATATATATATATATATAAAATCCCCGGCAGTTGCGGGTGTGAGGAGTGCGTCCGCTTGACGACGGAGGACTCCTTGAGGCACTCCCTGTCCAGGGTGAACATCTACCGGGCACTGTGCAGTCCCTCGCTGATCTGCCTCACCTCCAACGACCCCATACTCACCGCCTTCCAGCTGTCCTGGGAACTGCGGAACCTGGCCCTCACCGAGCAGGAGTGCAAGTCGGAGTACATGGAGCTGCGACGGCAGTGCCAGAAGTTTGCCGTCGATCTGCTGGACCAGACGCGCACCTCCAACGAGCTGGCCATCATCCTGAACTACGATCCGCAGATGTCGAGCTATGAGCCGGGCGACCGGATGAGTTTGACCCGCCTGGTGCAGGCCATTTCCTACAAGCAGAAGAAGGTATTTTCGGAATGGGCCTGTGCCAGTTGAAATCCCGCTTGCTAAAATTCCCCCATTTCGCTCACGCAGTTCGTGGCGCACTCGAATATCCAGCAATTACTGTCCTCGATTTGGTATGACGGCCTCCCCGGATTCCGGCGCAAGAGCATCGTGGACAAAGTCATCTGCATCGGCCAGGTGGCCGTGCTCTTCCCGCTCTACTGCCTCATCTACATGTGCGCCCCGAATTGCCGGACGGGCCAATTGATGCGAAAGCCCTTTATGAAATTCCTGATCCATGCCTCCTCCTATTTGTTCTTCCTGTGTGAGTATGTCGAGTGCGGTGGTGCACGGAGTAAACAGAATGTGCTGAATTTCATACAGATTCGGTAGATGGGTACCCTGAAATGCTCCTTTATTTGTTTGCATAGTGATTTTTATAGGGCATCAAATATGCCAAACAGGGATAAGCTTCAAACTATTTTTTTTAGCTTAATAGGATAGCCAATAACTAAATCAGATAACAGAAAATAGTGCTACCTAGTATTCAAAATAGATTTTTCAACTTATCTATCGCCTATCCGCTGTTACAATCCGTACTATGTATCAATTTATTTTGTAAAGAATATATTAACAGATACTTTAGCAATACTTTTACTTATACACTAGTATGAGAAAAAAATGCCAAAAGAGCATAAGCTTCACATTATATGTTGTTTAATAACTTAATCAGATAACTAAAAAAAATTACACTAAATATTTAAAATATATTTCTCAACCTATCAAAACCTATAAGATAATTTTTCTAAACTAAAATAGAACAATTTAACAATTTAGTTACTATTTTGGAATATTTAAAAATTCAAAATAGTTTTAGTTCAATTAAAATTTGAGGCACTAAGCAAAGGACATATGTGGCAGAATAAAATTAAACTTATGGCGGCTTATGCCAAGAATTAGTCGATATGATTCGTCACGAATGACAGGGATCCAGGTTCTTTTGTGACAATATTGCAAGCTGTGGACTCATTGTTGTTTGCTTTGCAGTCATCTTGATTCTGGTGTCGCAGCGGGCGGACGATGACTTTGTACGCATCTTCGGGACGGCCAGGATGAAGAAGGAGCTGGCGGAGCAGGAGCTGCGTCAGCGGGGCCAGGCTCCCAGCAAACTGGAGCTCATCGTGGTACTCTACGTGGTCGGCTTCGTGTGGGAGGAGGTGCAGGAGATATTTGCCGTGGGCATGAAGAGCTATTTGCGTAACATGTGGAACTTCATCGACTTCCTGCGCAACAGCCTCTATGTGAGTGTGATGTGTTTGAGGTGAGTGAGAGCAGGCACTTCGGCGACGTCTTGGTAATCTCCTGTCCATTTCCGGTCGCCAGAGCCTTTGCCTACATCCAACAGGCCACGGAAATAGCCAGGGATCCGCAGATGGCGTATATACCGCGCGAAAAGTGGCACGACTTCGATCCGCAGCTCATTGCCGAAGGACTCTTTGCGGCGGCCAATGTCTTCTCGGCCCTGAAGCTGGTCCACCTGTTCAGCATCAATCCGCACTTGGGTCCGCTGCAGATCTCCCTCGGACGCATGGTCATCGACATTGTGAAGTTCTTCTTCATCTACACGCTGGTGCTGTTCGCCTTTGCCTGCGGCCTCAACCAGCTGCTCTGGTACTTTGCCGCCCTGGAGAAGAGCAAGTGCTATGTGCTGCCGGGCGGCGAGGCGGACTGGGGCTCCCACGGCGATTCCTGCATGAAATGGCGCCGCTTTGGCAAGTAAGTCCAGTCAGCAGGCCAATTATCCTGCCAATTATCCTGCTCACTCATGGCATCCTGCTAACTCAATGTCCTTGGCCCACGCAGCCTGTTCGAGTCCTCGCAGTCGCTGTTCTGGGCCAGCTTCGGCATGGTCGGTCTGGATGACTTCGAGCTCAGCGGCATCAAGTCGTATACGCGATTCTGGGGACTGCTCATGTTCGGCTCGTACAGCGTCATCAACGTGATAGTGCTGCTCAACCTGCTCATCGCCATGATGTCCAATTCGTATGCCATGATTGATGTGAGTCGCAACTTTTTCTCTCTTCTTCAAGGGGTTAGGCTAAGGTATGGTTCTTTTTGTTTTTCTGCAGGAGCACTCGGACACCGAATGGAAGTTCGCCCGCACCAAGCTGTGGATGAGCTACTTCGAGGACAGCGCCACCCTGCCGCCGCCCTTCAACGTCCTGCCCTCCGTCAAGTGGCTCATCAGGGTGTTCCGCAAGTCCAGCAAGACCATCGATCGCCAGCGCTCCAAGGTGAGTCATGAAAGCTTTTTTTGCCTCGAAAAAATATGATATGAAAATCTCTGTTAAAAATTAAATTTCTGCATTGTTATTTAGTTGTTTATTTACTATCCCAGTGCGACAAGGTTAAGCTTATATTTATTGCGTTAGACAATATCACAGAGAACTTTCTAAATATATATAGAGAAATGATTGTCTGATTTCAATAAGGGGACAATTTCAATTAATTGCATGACAAGCTATTCCACTTATTAAGTTTGCTGTTAAGCAGTGCTATTAAATTTGTTTTGTTGTATCGTATCATATTTTCAATTTCATATTTTTTTCAAAGTGCAAATATTTGGATTGACCATGTATTTTTGTGGGTGTACAGAATAAATTCTGATCATCAGTTGGTTGTACAATAGAGAGTATAAATTTCGTTATGAATAATTAAACCCAATGTCACGTACATTCTTTTCTGTCTTCTTTTCCTTTTAAAATCACCTATGTCAATAGGGCAGAATTTTAACTTAAATTTTTACCACTACCTCAATTCTGGACATGTGTGTTAATATAATTGACAATAAATGGACTTAACCGAACCACTTTCCATTCCAGCAGAAGCGACAGGAGCAGGAGCAGTTCAGCAAGTATGACAACATAATGCGCTCCTTGGTCTGGCGATATGTGGCCGCCATGCATCGCAAGTTCGAGGACAATCCCGTGTCGGAGGACGACATTAATGAGGTCAAGAGCGACATCAACACGATGCGTTACGAAATGCTCGAGATATTCGAGAACAGCGGCATGGATGTCTCCTCGGCCAACAAAAAGGAGCGGCGTGAGTGCAGCTTTATCCACACAAATATGTATGGGACTATTAAAATCCAAACCTTTTTTAGAGCGACGACCAAGGCGTATAAAAGTGTGGGAACGGCGTCTGATGAAGGGCTTCCAGGTGGCGCCAATGCAAAGTAGCTGCGAACTGGATGCCTTTGCGAATGTCAACGGGCAGGGGGAAATGCGGGAGGTTAAGGTGGAGGCCATGCCCTCGAAGCCGGACAAGGAGACCGCCAGGGAGCGTTTCCAGCGGGTGGCCCGAACCGTGCTCCTCCAGTCCACTGCTCACAAGTGGAACGTGGTGCTCAGGGCCGCCCAGGACTCCCAAATTGGCCGCTGCACCAAGAACGAGCGCCAGAGCCTCCACAATCTGGGCCGGGCCATCGAGGAGGCCAAGAGGTGGGTGCATACAATCAAGGCGAAGATCCCATTTTAAAAATGTATCCCCTCTTACAGGCTAATAATGCTCAATCCGGGCTGCTCCTCCGGTCGGGAGTCGCCCATTCGCATTGAGTTTGAGGACGAGAAGACGAGCACCTTGCTGGAGCTGCTCAACCAAATCAGTGCCGAGATCAGCGATAGCGAAAGGCCCAAGGGCAAGCCCGTCTGGCGGCCACCGCTGAAGTCCGTGCCTGCCCGGGCCATGGCGGCCAATAATGTGAGATCCCTCACAGCTCCCGAGCTGAAGATTGGTCGGAAGTCCTCACCAGCTCCCACTCCTGGACACAGTGCACTGAGAAGTCGGGAGCTGCAGCTGTGCCCCAGCAAACTCATAACTGCTCCGCCCAAGAAATCAGCACCCTCAGTACCAGTCGCTGCTCCGCCCCCAACCTTCAAGGGAGCCACCCACAAAACCTTCATCCGCAGCTCAGATGGTGTGCCAACCGGCAGTTCCAACTTCGACATCCACGTGGTCGATCTGGACGAGAAGCGCGGGGATAATGCTTCCGACATCAGCTCCATTGCCAGCACGAGTCCCCAGCGATTTAAGAATCCAAACTGAATGTGATTGTGGCATGGTCACCGGTGATAAATGGGTCCACTTGATGCCTTCCAAATAGCCATACTCTTGTATCTAACTATTAACAAGGAATAAATTATTTAGACAAATTAGCTTCGAGTTTCGAGCTTCAGCTTAACTTATGGGAATCTAATTTCCAAATGTGCCCCAACCATCCCATTCCCATCATCATTTACATAGACAGCCATAGACATGACGGACCCTCCTCCGGGTCTTAACTTTCTTTCCGGTGAAAGCGTGCGTGAACTCGTCAGCCGCAAGCATCAAAGGCAATTGAGACACAAACATAAACAAGTCGCCGGATAAACGCTGCTTTTAGGGGCCGAAAAGAGAAAGAATTATAAATTCAATTTGATGTCATATCAATTGATTTTGGGGCACATCTTTTTGCTCCAATGCTGCTGACAATTCCCATAATATCGGAGGGATCTGCTACATAAATACAGTTGCGGTCAACATAATAGTAGTTTTTTAGCATATAAATATTAACCATAAATAGTTTAGAAGCTACTTTCGAAGATTGTGGGGGAAATGAGGGAAATATAAAAATCCACATAACATTCTTAATTATATTCAAAAACAAAATTTTATTAAAAATATGTATTTCATTTTTAAAACAGGTGATATGTTAAAAACATTTTCATTCCAATAGAAAGGGCCGAGCTATGGGTTGAAAAGTGAATTTTAAGAAATTATTGAATGGTGCTTATATTATATATTATATTATATTTTATATTTTCCCACCTCTATTACTCTGACCGCTGCTGTATAAAGAGGCTGAGGTGGTCCTTTTGGCCATGTTGACCGCGGCTGGCATTTGATTTTGATGACGCGTGGCACTTTGAAATTTATGCGCCACTCTAAGCACACTTTGTATGCGCCCAATGCCTTGGAAAGATGATGAACGCTCAAAGTTTCAGTACGTGTGTGTATGTATATTTTTTTTTGGAACAATGTTTTAGGAGTTTGTGTGTTTTGCATGAAACTTGATGCTTTTTCGCTGACACCCACCGGGAATAAACGAAGGTATTTGGGCTTCCCAGCCGGCATTAAGGCAAATATAAATGGCATTTTTCCCTTGCTTTTTACGGCAGTGTGGGCACTAATATATGTTAATGTGATTAGGTTGCACATAATTCAGCAGATGCAAACGGTGACATGATGAGCCGGATATTTATGCTTAGCTAAACTTTAGGCCATCGGGAAAACATGATATTTGCCAAGTACATTTGGCATTCCGGAAACGTTTTGTATCCAATTACCTGCTGAATGCCAAAAAGCCAGCCGAGAAATTCGAAAATTCCAAAAATTCCGTTTATTTACACAAATTCTCTTGAATTCCCGACAACATACGAGCTCTCATTATTTCGCTAGGCAGACAAATGTACACTGAGATGGGCTAGTTTTGGGTTATAATTACACAGTACACTTAGCCTAAGATTCAAGCATTTGGATTGCAGATTCGATTGTTATGGGGTGGCGGCGGATGAGGAGATGGTACATTATCCATCCGTGCGGGCCAGCTTCAGTCGCACGGCGATGCGCTTGCACTTCCACATGAGCTGCGTCTCCAGGATGCTGAAGGACATGGCCACCAGGACGAGGCCGAGCAGCAGGTAGGCGCAGCAGGCGTACAGCTGCAGCTCCGGTCCGTTGAAGCTGCGGGCGGGCACGAAATCTCCATAGCCAATGGTCGACAGGGTCACAAAGCAGAAGTAGGCCCCGTCCACCAGCGACCAGTTCTCCCACAGGGCAAAGACCACGGTGCCCACGCAGATGTAGCAGGCCAGGATGAGCAGCACCAGGCTGATGGGCACCTGCCGTCCCGCCGCCGAGTCCGATTCCGAGTCATCATCATCCTCCTCCTCCGAGTCCTCCGCCCCGCGGCACCCCTCCGAGTCGCAGCGATAGCGCAGCTTCTTCAGCACGAACTGCTCGCTGCCGTGCTGCATGTACTCCTCGTCGTCGGAGGTCTCCGTGTTGTTGGCCGTCGTGCTGTCGTACAGCGTTCCGGAGGCGTGTCTCTGGCAGCGACGCGTCAGCAGGAGCGTCTTGCGGCCCAGCGGTTGCAGCGGGTGACGGTGGAGGGTCGAGTCCTGCGGCACGGACAGAGGACTGGCTATCAACGGCACTCGCGACGGCGTTCCGTGCGGGCAGTTGCTGCAAAATGATAAAAAGATGGACGAGACGGATGGACAATAAATATTTATGACGCAGCTGACCATAAAAGAAATCAATTAGGCATAAAAAGCAAGCCCCAGAGCAACCTCAGGCCGTAAAAAGGAAATAGCTGTCCAATCAAAAACGCATAAAACTTTCGGTATACGTGTGCGGCGCATTAGGCGTATGCGCTATATTTGCAAAACTACCTTTTTGGGTCAGTAAAAATAAAAGACACCCTTGTCCCTGTATCCTGTTTTGAAGAGAATGATTTAGTATATACATAAGCTTAAATTAGACCAAAAGTACTTAAAATTTCCTATATACCTGTAAAATACTTTTTAACGCAATTTAAAGCCAGGATTAAGGTCTCGAAATCAATGCAATTCCAAATTTCAAGAGCCAAATTGAGACTGATTTGATTGACAATCCAAATGCCTCTTGAACTGCCGCAAACGAGGGTCTCCTCAACCTGCAACAGTCCGCCGGGAAAACTCCTTGGAGGCCAGGCACTCCTGTTACCAGGCGTTCACTCTGTCAAACCAATTTGGCGAACATTTATTGAACTTGCCAACCAACCAACAGCCTCTCGGCTAGACAAACACTTGCTCGAGATGCACTTGCAGAGCGATTGGCCGAACAAGTGCCAGAAAACTACTACCGATACTTCTGCTACTGCTACTACTACCGATTTTGGCAGCGATCAATATGAACAACATCACGTGTGCACATATGTTTGCCTAAGACAAGACGGATGGAAGGGAAAACCGGAGCAGTGGGCTGCGATTAATTGACCCGATTCATTGCGAGCGAGTGCCCAGCTCGGCTTACAATTAAATACAGACAGACAGGGCTGTAACTGAAACCGAGAAGGGTATATATGGGGTATGCTATATATATAATATATTCGCGTTTATATATCTGCCACAGGAAACCCCGCGACGCGTGCCCAGGTTCACTGTCAAAATTAATTACCAGATGCTGTGCTGCTACTGCTACTGCTACTGCTACTGCTTTTTATTAAATAAAATGCTCAAAATGTGCGCTCAAAAAGGCGAAGCAAACCATCATCAGAAGCGGAGCACTCTTCACTCTGGCAGAAAATGGCGGCCGAAAGGGGGGGCTTTCAGCCACCGCAGGGGGGAGTGGGAATCCGCAAGGCTGTTCAAGGGAAAACTGGGTGGGTGGCTGGGTGGTTGGGTGGCTGGAAGGGCAAATGGCTGCTGTGTGCATCATGCAGATTCTGAAGTGTTGATTTAAAGTGTTGCTGGCAGGCAGAAAGTTTGTTTTGGTAATTAAATTAACAGCTTTCCCCCCAGCATTTGGCTCTCGATTTTGGTAGGCAGCAAACCAAGGCTTTAATCAGATGCAACTTAAATACCTGGATTTCCACCTTCATGAAATCCTTTTCCTGCACTGCGCTTATAAACACAATCTGAATTCAGTAACTACATTTTTCATTTCTGACCTATTTGGTATTCAATTGTATGGTTTTGGGTAATCAAATTTCTGCTCAATGGGCAAAAACATAACCTACAACAACTTGAGTTGATTTGATTTGATTGATTTGATATTCTTATGTTCATATATGATGTGTTCATGGGGATCACTTACTTAAGTTACAAATTTGATTAACAAAAGAATATAAATTCATTTTTTAATTAAGATTTGCAATGTTCTTGAAATCGTTTTCCTGCACTGCGCATATAAACACAATCTGAATTCTGGAACTAACTTGAGTTGATTTGCTTTAATTTGATAGGATTGATGTGATATTCCTATGTTCAAGTATGTTGGGTTCATGTGAATCACAAATATGTTACAAATTTGTTTAGCAAAAAAGTCTAAATACCAATTTTAATTAAGATCAGTATATATAGCTTGTTACGATTTTCTCGACCTGGAACTATATTATTTTCTCTGAGTGTGTACATACCTCAATCGCTCCCGTTCCTGCTCATCCTCGTCCTCCATGATGTCGACGGTGCCCGTTGAGTTGGCGCTTAGTAGAGCTGACAATGTTGCTGCTGCCGAGGTGGCAGTTGCAGTGCCTGCTGTTGTTGTTGGTGGAGGTGGGGGAAGAGGGGCTGCAGGACCGCCACCGGCCATGCCACAAACACCTGCGGCCATAAAACTGTTATCGGGCAGTGTTGTTGTTGCTGCTGTTGCTGCTCCCCTGCCAGCAACCATTGTTGCTCCTGTGCCTGCGGCAACTTTAATACCCGACGACAGTTGTGGGCTTGTTGCTGCGGCCGTGTAGGTTAGCATTGGACCTGCTGCAGTGCCTGTTGCTGCTGCTGCTTCCCCCGAATGCGGTGGTGGCAATAAATCATGTCTGCCGGATAAGTCTGGCGATCCCGTGCCGCAGTCCATCAGCGCGTTGATCTCGTGTGGCAACGGTTTCGTCACGAACTTGGCCCGCCGCACGGCTGCAAAAAAGGGTAAAACACAAATATTTCAGTAGCTATTTAAATATTTAATAACCTAAATTTACACAAAGTGGCAGTGGGTGAAAAATTAAATGAAGTTTCTATTTCAATAACAACATTTACCGAAAGATACAAGGGTAAAAAAAAAGTTGCTGCACAAATTGGCAAAACAACTTCCGGCAACTGCCACACACGGCTAGATTATCCCGTTAGCCCGTTAGTTCCGCCGGAAGTGGCAGTGGCAGCAGTGGCAGCAGCGGGAAAAGCCGGAAAAGTTGTGCATTTAGCCCACGAAACAGGGAGGGGTAAACAACACTGCCAAATGTATTTGCTTTGCATTTTCAAAGTTCGCCCACCAATGCAACAATGTGGCTGAACGTTGAGGACTCGCAATGCCATTCCCTCGACTTTTGAACCCAAAAGTTTGGCGTTAGCTTTCATTAGCGGCTGCCAGTGGCAGAGTCGGGATGTCAGGGGGCATTAAAACATCTGGTGGCTGAAACACAGTGGGCAATTGCCAAAAGCGCTTCCTAAACTAAACGTTGCTGCGGTAAATCATACAAAAATTCAGCCATTAGAGGCTTTAAGCTGTTATTTTATCATTAAGTTAATGTTTCTTTCCCTTAAGAAAGACTTCTATTTTGAGTAAAGTATATTTCAATATTTTACATATTACTTTTAAAGGGTAATTCCATTTTTTTTTGGTTTAATTGAGTTAAAAAAATTAAAGAATTTGGTTTGTTAATCATTTTACAAACTATAGTTTTAGGTATAATAAACTGTTCTAATCCACTTTCTACTATATTATTTTCAAATTATATTTAGAATAAAGTTAATTAAATAGCTATTTGACCCACCTTTTCATCCCCCTTTTTTTCTTTTACAAAATACTTAATTTGTTTGAGTATTTTATAGTTTTGGCTTTAAATTTTTTTTTATAAACAAACCAAATGAAAGCATTTTTTCAATAACTCAAGAAAATATATATAAACATTTTAAAAGCCTTCTAAGGCTACTACCAGAAATTAAATGATAATGTGTATTCTATTTTGTTTTGCTTCTTGATATTTTGATGCAAAATCCATTACTTGGCAACTAGAAAAAAAGGACACTCCTCACCACAACCACTGTCCTGACTTAATAGTTTTTGTCCTCCGGCGAACGAAAAAACGGAAGGAAGCGTACGTCTTTCGCTTTGGAACTGTCAGCAGGACGCCAGAAAATCGCGGTGCGGAGTGGATGGGTCTGCTCCGGACATGGCCAATTTGAAAATATTTACTTAAACTTGGACACCGCACACCAGTACACACCCACACACACACACACTGGTTGGCAGTGCAGTAAGAGCACAAAGACATTCATTAAAGTGCAGGGACACACACACTCTTTGTATACTATATATACTAGATATAGCAGCATATATCCGGACTCGCAGGAAAGTCACTTTGGTGCTGCGGTCGGGGTTGCAGCAACTTTGGCAGTGCTTTAATGGTGCGGTTGGCCGCGGATTCGGACTGCGGGGAGTGCGTTCCGGACTCCTCTATTTCGGTGCCGGAACCGGGTCCGGGTGCCAGTTGCAGACAATTAACATGCATAATGGAATCAATGGGGACGTCATTCGTGCCGCTGACAAATGGCCGAGTCTCACGCTAGAGTTTGCTGCGAAACTAAACGGAATTTGGATCGGAATCCTTTGAGTCACGTGCCGCTGCCTCAACGACAAAGAGCAGTTAAATTTAATGAGTTTTGCATGCGTTGCACAAGCTGCGAATCCGGCAGGGCTGTCGTCTTTATGTCAAGTCATCATTATCGTCAATAAAACTGTCGCACATGTCGAAAGTTGCCTCAAGTGCATGATGTCCTTAGCCTTGTGCTGTTGTTGTTGTTGCTGCTTTTGTTGCCAATGTCCTGGCATGTCAGGCAGCACAAGTTGAAAAGTTTTAATGCCAGCAAAGTGTGTGTCTGCTTAACTCTGTCATTTTAACACGCTGCTGCTTCCGCAGCCTGCACGCTGCTCATGATGATGATGATGAAAATTGTTATATAATTGAAAGCGTAAATGAGCACTGTGACGTGGGCGTTGGGGCAGTGGGTGTGGAGTATCGTCCTGCGACAACATGGCGTATGATTGATTGATTACTGTTCGTTCGGTTTTGTTTCGGGGCTCAGGTTAAGCCAAAGCTGTCAGCAGAACATTTTCGGTTTTGGCCTGCCAACATTGCCGGCACAATTTGTACATCCAATTAAATTCCATTTTCCTTTGTTGCAAATTATGCAAATTTCCTGCCTCACTAGCATTAGCATTCATTAACAATTCATAAAATATATGGCAATTTACTTCAATTATTTTGGAATATATTTTAACATATCTATAGAGTTGATATAACATATTAATGACACATACTTTATAAATAAATTGGAAACTAGAACACATACTTCATAAATAAAATAGACACTATATATATATATATGTATGTTGTTCAAATAAAATGTTACTCTTGTTAATTCCTTATGACAATTATTTGTACTTTTGATTTTAGATTAAGTCTCGTTGTCAACCCAAATTTTGTTTAAATTTGTAAAATAAAATTACATATGTTTGTAATTATGACTCGCAAAAATGAATTTTAAAAACCGTAAGAACACAAAAGCAGCATTGTATACCAAAGCAAATTAAAGCTTGTCGCGAATATGTGAAAAGGGGTCGATAAAGTACCAATTTACTTTTAAATACTATGCATTTTAGTAAGTCAATTGCTTGAACTGTGTTTCGTAAAAACAATATGTGACAGCCTTCAGCGAGATCATTTCCCAGAAACCGAGCAATCAACATGGCAATTTCATCACTCACCATGCACATTGGCAGTCTGGTAGGCCGGCGGTGGTGGCAATGTGATGGCCTCCAGTGTGGATGCCTCAGATCCTGTGACGAGATTCCCGACTGCTGCATCCTGAAGTCCAGAAGCCAGCACTCGATGCTTTCCGGTTGCCGGTTGCATGTGTATCGTGTGATACTTGACCAGCGGCTGTTGACTCAGCGTGTGATTCCCAAGGGGATTCGGACTTGCATTCGCATTCGAATTCGCGTGAGATTGGACGTGGGCGGGACTGCCGGGGGCGGAGGGGGCGGGGCCGAAAGGAAAGTATATCGTGGCAGTCGCGGGCGCATAACAATTGGGCGGCACTGTCATCGGCATTCGCAGCATGCTGCTGGGCACGGCCACGAAATTCTGTTGCAGTTGCTGCTGGTGTGGCTGGTGTTGCTGGTGTGGCTGCAGCTGCAGCTGGTGATGTTGCTGCTGCTGCTGCTGCAGATGATGATGTTGTCGCGGGAGAGTTGCTGTCGATAATTGCTGCTGCAGTTGCTGTTGCTGTGGTGCGTATTTCAGCAATGCGCTGCCCGATGTCGTTGTCATTAGCATGACATCCGGTTGCTGTTGCTGCAACTGCTGCTGCTGCTGCTGCTGCTGCTGCTGCTGCTGCTGCAACTGCTGTTGCTGCTGGTAAAAATGCTGCTGCTGATTCAAGTTGCGCAACAATTGACAGGCATCTGCTGACCGCACGGGACAAAGGAAAGAACAGACGTGTCCAAGATGATTAACGACTTGCAATTGTGCTGACAATACAATTAGCATGCGAACAATGGCGACAATGGCACTCACCTCCCTCCCTCTTGTCCGGCGGCAGTTTCCCCTTTTGGCCGTACTCCAAGCAGTCATTCAAGCTCGTCTCACTGTTGGCCGCATCGTACTTACAGCCCTTGCAATTGGCCTGCAGAGAGAAATCCAATTAATTTCAATTATATTAATCTTCAAGTTTAATTGCTTAACAATTTGTTGTATTGATTGTCGTGAGCGCCACCAAAATATGTGGTTTGACTACTTGTCTTATAAAAATAAATAAAAGTATGTTATGATACATTATATATGCAATGATGCCTTGTTCAAACCTCTTAAAACAATATATGGCTTTATAATGGCGAGAAGAATTTAATTTCAATGTTTTACTTTTGGTAACGCAGGACCCTCACCACTTGACGCATTTGGTCTGAATTCATAGTCAACTTTCGTGTGTAGGCGAATACCTGTATTATATATTTTTGTCCATTTCATAAAATGATTACAAGAAATGGCCATTGTATAATTACAGTGTTTGGATCTTATTTTTAAAGAAAACTCAAAACCATAATTGCATAGCTCAGAGCTCCTCAGACGATCAAAAGATTAAAGACCATTTTTTTCTCCGTGTAACTTAAGGGTAATTCCAAGTAATCAACTGAGTGAAACGTGGCGTTTCGTCCCGAAGATGTTCTGTGCCCACACTGCGGCTACTTGACATGACGGGGCCAATGTCAATAAAACACGTAATTTGCAGGCTCAATCCCAGGCCATTCTTGGGGCCCAAAACTGATGTCATCATTGCCGTGCCTCTCCGCCCCCAAAAGCTGTTTGCGGCCAAACGCCCGGCATCTCGTGTGCTTTGCGGTTCTGCGGCATCATCATCCAATGCCAGGCAAATCTAATGGACATACAGGCAAACACAAGCGATGGAAATGGGCGACATGCGAAATGCGAAATATCTCCCTGTTAGTCTTGCGGTTTGGACCGGAAAACCCATGCCCGAAACCCATGGCCAAAACCCGTTACGGCATGCGTCACGATAATTGCAAAGACGAAAGCAAAGGCTAAAGGGCCCAAAGCCCAAAGCCAAAATGGCAGCAGTCAACACGATGGCGATAATAATTCAGCCGATGACTGCACATCCCCAGTGGCAACCGCAATCTGCTGGCAGTCTTATCAATTTCAATTGCCAGTCGCATCCTTGTGCCCCGAAAAGCGCAAAGGCCCAAAAGTCCACTTGGTCGAAGATTGGATTGTGCCCTAATGAGTTGTTGAATGCAACATGAAGATCCAAACAAGACTGGCAAATGCAAAACTCCTGTTCAACAAGTCGCCGGCCCAACGAAACTGGCAATCCTGAAATAGGAATGCCATGCTCGAGTGGCTGGGAACACGGCAAGTAGATTACCACTCGAGCACGGGAAATGCGGAAAAGTTTGTACTTTTTAGTTGAGTTTTTAGCACCACGACTGCTTCGACTGACTGGAACTGACTGAACTGGTGTTCCCGGCCAAATCAAATCAATTAGGGCCAAAAGTGGCGGAAATGAGAAGTTATTCCATGCCTCCAGTGTAATTGTCGAGCTGCGGGCAAACTTTTTGCCACCCCAGCATTAAAGTGGCTCGCACTCATTTCAATTTACCTGACTGCCAAGAATCGCTGCCACTTGGCCGGGTAAATTAAATTTATGCCGACGCCACCACCGTTATTTGACCCGACTCAAACTGCCAACTAAAGTTTGCGCAACTCTTAAAGTGTCGAAATGGGGGCTCTTGTTAAAGAGTCAACTTTGGCCGGGGGAATTTTAAAGTTTGACGGGCAAAGTTAGCTAGAAGTTCATTAAAAGTGTCCAGTTCGGTTCGCGTTCGCGTTCGCCTTCGCAAGCAAATGTTAATTTATGAAATGAATTTTTTGCCAGATGACAAACAGGTCATCGAAGTTGTTGCCCTGGGCCACAGCAAAATCACTTATTTATTTATTGAACCCCGTTATTCGCATTCGTTTTTCCCGCTCAGCCATAAATTGCCAATTAAACAGAAATTTGTGCAGCCAATACAAACAGCAGGACGAAGAGGACAAATGAGTGGCCACATTTACAAAAAAAAAAAAAAAAGCTGTGAGTGCAAACAGAGCGAATCACTTTTTGTGGCTTTAAGGCTTTAAAAGCAAACATTATTCGCCGAATGCCGAATAGAGAGTGCTTGGTACATGGAAAGACCGGAACTGCACGTTCCGAAAACAGAAATGTCATTACGGGAGGCCAGCAAATCACTTACAAAACTTATGCACGAATGCACAAAACACGCAAACAAACAAATACGAATGGCAACAAAAAAAGGGCAACCTAGTCAGAGTTTTGATATCCTAAAAAATTACTTATAATGTATACAACGGAGGTATACAAATAAAACGCAATAAAGCAGGGAAAAACGTGAAACCGAACCCAAAACCGTCTGCAGCGGGAAGACCTAGAAAGTATGGCGGAAAAAACAAAAAGGCAAAAAGAAAAGTTCGTTGTTGTTTTTCCCAAATCAATTACAAACTTTCAGTTTGCGTTAATAGAAATCCCGACCGGAGTGGAGATCCAGTTAAAAGGCTTCTGCTGTCGTAATTAAAAGCCGTAATTCGAGTCTTCAGTGCAGTTTGATGTCCGAAATTTTAGTCGTATGCCATTAAGAAAAACGCTTCGAAATCGAAGATTCCCATCACATCTTGGCTTAGGAGCTTTGCCATTTCCATACATCGCTGAGCTGCCATTCAGGTTTTCCCGCTGGCCAAAGTGAAACTGTCGTCGCTGCTGGAAAAGTTTACTCGCAAAATGGGTGGTTGGAAAAACTACAAGCGAAACACTTAGTGAGTAGTGGGAAAAGTTCAAGCGTAAAACAGCGGAGTAGCCAGCGAAAGTTTTCACCAAGAACTTTGGGCACGCGAAACAATGCCGAAAGTTGAAAGTAAACTTTAAACCGGAATGCAGAGAAAAACACTTTGGACTCCTTTCTTTTCGGGTGACTCAGCAGCAACAGTTGCAGCTTCAACTATCAAATTAGGATCCATAAAAATGTTCTCGAGTTGCAGCTGCAGTCAGCTGATGAACACAATGCAGTTGTTGTTCTAAGTCAAACAATATCAATCATACGCCATGGCTGCCTCGTTGCTTTTTGAGCCAAGAAATTGAGGAGAAACCTTTGGGAAATCATTCTACTCTTTAGCGTTTTATTTTTAAGAAAACACTGTTTGATTGTGAAGAGTATATGTGGACTACCAAATCTAACAGGTTTATTTTTTAAGATGTTACTTAGTATATTACTATTCGACAAGAAATAAATAACTCTTTAGAATAACTCTTTAAAATAACTCCTTAAAATAAGTTCGACAAGAAAGAACTAACTCTTTGAAATAACTCTTTAATAAAACTCTTTACAAAACTGTTGCCACCCACTGAGAAATTTGGTTTTGTTTTTTGTTTAAGCTTACAGCGTACTTATAAATAATCCTTAAACAAGCCTCTTTATTCAAACAAATACAAATGTATTGTAGGTGGGTATAGGTGCATAGTACCCTGAAAAACTTTGACGTTTCTAAGCAACAGTTCTCCCTTCCACTATTAAATTATTACATATGACAGTGTTTTGTAAAATGTAACTTAAAGGTGTACAAACAAAAAAAAAATCACGCTTTCTTCTGAAATAAAAAAACAAACATAATATGTAGATGTCCATAATATTTGGGGCCTTGGGCATAGTAAATTATCCCTTTGACTTTTGAAATATGCCGTAAGCACTCAAATAAGTTATTTCTCAGTCAACGTGTTTTAGTTTTATTTAATTAAAAAGTTATTGAAGGTGGGTGTATTTCCAAGCATTATGTTTTTGATGGTGCTCCTAAGCAACAGTTGTCCCTTTAACTATTTAATTTGCACACACAAAAGTAAAGTGGTATTTCATGAGCTGCAACGGCTGCCCTCGCTCAAATGATATCAATCATACGCCCCGGGTGCCTTACCATTCGTCGCTTGGAGCCCTTCTCCCTCTCCTTCTGCTTCTTTTTGTCCCTCGACTTGGTCAGTGGCGTCGGTGTCATCGCTGTGCTGGCAGTGGGCGTTGAGTCCGCGGGAGTGGACTTCCTACGGTGCTCCTGATGGCGCTGCAGCTGGCAGCAGAGCCGCACGTAGGTGCACTGGAGGCCATCGGCGAGCAGGGCTCCCAGGCTGGACAGGCACATGAGCATCAGGGGCACGCCCACCAGGGCGTAGAAGATGGTGGCCAGCTTCCCGGCGGCGGTGCGCGGCGTCAGGCTGCCGTGACCTGCAAGTAGGGGGATAATATATCTGGTTTAGAGCATGAAAATGGCAAGCACGAACGGGCTAATATAAATGCATGTACTTTTAATCGGATGGCAGGGACCTTGGGGACGCAATCTGTGGAGGAGTGGTGCATCATATAAAATTGCTTTTCACAAGGACTTTTATTAAATTACCCAATTAAAATTGCTTTAAATGAAGCTAATAACCCGAAATCCTAAAATATAAACCCATTAAGTATGCGCCTTATGCTCTAACATTTCTTCAAATAAAGTGTAAACTTCATAACATTAATTGCCCTCAAGTACAGCAACCAATAATGAAAACACACATGCTCTAAGCAATTACTCCACTTCATAAGCACTCATTATAAAGCTTATATTTAGCACTGTAACCCAGTTATTGTTTGACCTCAACAATGTAGGCAATAAATCCCATTAGCAACATCGGCTTTTACCCGGCTAACTAGCAGGCTGTTAAAGTTAAAGACCATGAGATACAGTTAATTTGTAGCAACTGGGATGGCCCATCATTTAGCATATGCAAATATTTTGGCCCGGCCTCCGGGTCGAATACACAATGTCTGATGTCCTGGCACTTCAATGGCTGCTCCTGTGGCATAGTTTGCACTGGAAGGCGTTGTTGGCCCCCTGCAAAGTAAATATTTGTTGTGGCCAAGCCGAGATCATAATAAGCAGCTCTTAGCCAGTCCCAAGATAAACACTGAACATAAATCTAAACGGCTTAGGTATTTCGGGACAAGTGAAAGTGAAAGTGAAAGTGCGGAAACTCACCAATTGTCGTTATCACAGTGACCGAGTAGAGCAAAGCCTCGCTGAAGGTCCAGCTCTGCGAGTCGTCGGCATCGTAGCCAAAGTGACCCAAGGCGCTGGCACTGCCCCCCTGGAAGAGTCCTCCTCCGCCACCGCTTCCTCCTCCCCCTCCTGCACCGCCAGCGGATCCTTGGCGCGTGGCCGCCACAATGGAGCCCTCGAAGCGACGTAGCTGCTCGTGGACCAGCATAGTCCAGTTGCGTTCGTACAAAACGTTGAGTTTCTCTGCAAGAAATGTGAGGTCGGAAAAGGTTAGGTCGGCAAGAAATGTGGAAGGAAGGTAAGAAAAAAAGGTTAAATCGGGTGCCCTTAAGTGCGTTCAAGTGTCCTTTCCGTAATTATGCAATTTCAAGCCAAGTGCAGCCACAGCCTTCGACCTCCCATCGACACGGCCGACAAGTGCCGACAAACCGGACTATCCTTCGCTCACCTTGTCCCAATCTCAATCTCAACCTCAATCTCAGCCTCAAAACCCACCACCCACCACCACCCGAAATGCTCCTTTTCGATTGAGGAATCTGCTCCCATTTGACGTCGTGTGTTCGCCTCTTGCAAATTGCAGAGGTCGCTTGTTAACAGCAGTTCGAGACTCGTTTGCTGTCTTGCTTGTCGGCCACGCCCCTTTCACGCCCTCTGGCCTTGGTGTAAGGACCCTCAAGTATCGAATCCTCAAGGGTGCACTTCCCCAGACATCAGCCCTCCCACCCATCCTAATCGACTGGAGCTAGTTGCCAAGAACAAAGCCAAAATCAAACGATTTTCTGTGCCAATCTTTTCCAACTTAATCGACTTGTTCTGCAAATTCCTCTTTGGTTCAGGACACTAGACTTTATAAGAAACTAATTGGCAAGGAATAACAGTTCAAAACCAGTATTAAACTGTTGGTTAGATGGTTTAACTTTGACAGCATAGAAATACCAATTTTATAAGAGTGCTAAAATCTCTTAAGCAACTTTAAATCAATTTTGGTTTTATGCTAGGCAACATGAAACCTAATACAACAGTAGATTTTGAATTTATTGAACTTTTAGTAAAGGTATTTTACACCTGACTTCGCTTTATGGTAGTTAAAACATTTCATGAGTCTAATTTTAATATCGCTCAAACAATTTCTTCAACAGGATTTTATGTAAATGTGAAAAATTTTACAAATATTCCAAACGTAAGCAATTTCCTTCATTTTTTGTGTATATGTACTTCCTTTATAAGAAAATAAATGGCTATGAATGGCATTTGCAAGCATTAAAATTAGGCGTCTATAGTGGCTTCACATTTTTAACATTTTTAATAAAAGGTTTTAAGCATTTCGTTTTTCTGGAATCCACATTAGATTTAATCTAGATCAGCTTAAATTGGCATATATAATATACCAAGCTCTAGCCCTTGATTTCTCTCTATTACTTTTTTAGACAACCTTAACCCTTCTAAATCTCAGCTCTCGCTAGCCCGAATTATAAATTACTTATGTTGGGAGGAGACTTTGGGACAAAAGACAAATGCAGCACATCATTAGGCGCTCGTTGGTGGGCTCATCGAATTAATCATAAGCCAGGTGGGACGCGGATGAGCTCAAGTTAATTGGTTTATTTATTATGTGAAATTTTAATTAAATAAACAGCAGCTCTAATACACACGCACGTGCCGCCGAGCCAATGGAATCGTTGTCCCAGCCTCGGATCGAGTGCCACTGGCAGGTGCGACAAAGTAATTAATTTCACACGAATCAGGTCCACAAATATACCTCAAAATAGTTGCGATAAACGCAATCCAATCGATAGAATTTCGCTTGTTTGTGAAAATAAAAACATACCCAGCCTGACCAAATATTTGGCTATGCAAATATTTAGCTTTTATTCAATTCGGTAAAGGCGAAATCAAAATTTAAGCCGACCTTTTGTTTGAATTTTAGAGCTATGGGTGTTGTTTGCCACCACTAATAATTAAAATATTTATGCTGGCCCTGCACAACCGCTACTAAATATTTACTTGGCATTATTGGTCGATAACAAAACATTGTCACTTTAATGTTCCAAATACTTTGGCAATTTGCAGGCAAATCAAGCGTGCAAAACACGACGAAAATTTACGGGCACTGCGGCAAAAATGTGGCGGCCATTATAATTTATGCGGATTTTTGTGCGTCGCCAGCGAAGCGTTAAAATGTTTGCTGCATACTCACGCAAAAATAATAAGACCGAGGCATCAAAAACATCAAAAGAGCTAAGTTTAAAATAAAATTGATACAAACATATTTGTATATACTTATTGATCAAACAAAAAATATCTAGGAAATTAATTTTGAGACAGCTCAAGTAGGAATGGTTATTAAAGATACAAATATATATAATCATAAAATAAATGTGGTTTAATTTTCTTACTGTCTCAAAATTAATATCCTATGTATTTTATTCTTATCAAAACGTATTTGTTTATGTTAAATTATAATTTGGCTAAGTTAAACAATACAAGCAGAAGCAATATGTATTTAAAAATTATTTTAAAATGATTTAAGCAACGTTTTCACTTGTGTATAATGTTTTGTAGCCGGCTAGAGTTAGATTCAGATTCGAACTTAAGATTTAACAAAATATTTTTTTTTTTGATTTTACTTCCGCAATAATTAATATTTATTATAAAATTAATTATACTTGCTTGGTTTGATTTCTTTGTGGGTATATACAATTCAGAGTCATTTTTTGTTAATTAATATATGATTTTAACTTGGTTTGATGCTCACCTGTTATGATCCAGAGTTCGCGCAGACAGTCTTCACGGCTCTTGGCGATGGCCGCCGACTTGCTGAGGTCCTGCGGCGCCTCGAGGAGCGGAAAGATGAGGGCGCCCAGCACGGAGTAGCCGATGACCAGGAGCACGAGGCCGGGCGTGGAGAGCAGCAGCTTGAGGATGTGGCCGCAGCAGCGCCGGAGACCGCTGCTCGGCTTGGCTGTCAGCGAGGCGGTGGTCCTGGCGCCCACCTCCGTTGCTCCTGCTCCGGATTCGGCAGCATCGGGATCGGGATCCGTCTCATCGTCAATGCCACAGTTCAGCTGCTGCTGTTGCTTGGCCCTAATCGCCTGCTCAACGTCGGACATGATCGCTCAGTGTTCAATGGCATTTAGTGGCCACCTGCTCCTCCTCGGCTTCCGTTTTCGTTTCCGCTTCCAGCAAGCATTTCCGTTTCCGTTGGCAGCAGCATGACTCGTCCAACCCTTGGCTCACTAATTGCAACAGAGTTTTCTCATCGTTCGCAATGTCGTCGCTTTGTTCTCCCTATATCCCGCCCTATATCCCGCCCTATATCGCCCCTATATCTTTGTTCCCTGGTTGTCTGTCGACTGCCTTTCTATCCGCTTGTTGCCTTCAGCAAGCGTATTATTTTTTAAGCTGTCGTTGACTCGTTTTTGCTGCTTTTGCTGATGATGCTGCTGTTGTCGCTTGCTGCTGTTGCTGGTGTTGCTGACGTGGCATTTACCATTGTTCCTGGTCTATGCACTCCATGGACTCTTCCTCCTCTCGGCCGTTTGTACTTTTAAAGTTGTTGTGCCAGTTTGCTCCCCTCCTCGCCTGCCTGTAATTGAAAACATTTGTATGCTGTAGTTGTTGGTATTCATATTGTTGCAGTTGCTGCAGTTGTTGCTGCTGCTGCCTGGCTGCTTCCGTTAAAGTGCACTTGGGAGTAGGTTAAGCGCACACAAAGTGAAAACGTACTAAATTTGACACTTCACTTAATCTAATTAGCAACTCTTTAGGCCCAGGCCATTCTACTGTTGCCGAGCGGCCAGCCGAGTGATAAAATTGCAGTCAATTTAAATGTTTGTATTTATTCAGTTTATGATTGAGTTAAAACGAGAGTTGGTAAGCCAATAACAAAAGCTTGTGTGATTTTAAATACGTGGTAATTAAATTCAAACTTTTTTACTCCATTTAAAACAAACACATATAGGCTGAAAGCTTTTATTTTATAACGTTTCTACTGCTTCTAGTATTTTTTCAATACAAAATGAAAAATTATCCGTCTCATAAATCTTTTAAACTCCTAGTTCATTTAAATATTGATTTCTGCTTGTCTGTTTAAGTTTGCCCACACTGCAGTCAATTTAAGTATTTATGTTTAATTAGTTAATGATTGAGTTAAAACGATACTTGTTGAGACAATAGCAAATGCTTCTGCGATATAACCTAGTGGTAATTAAATTGATTGCATTTACATAAACAAAGCCATTTTGATGTTTTTATCCAAAGGAAAATGATCCATAATCATCATTATAAATATCATCATTATAATCATAACATATTCCACCCTTTCATATATTTTTTAAGAACCTAAGACTTACTTCTTTTCCATTTAAATATTGATTTTCTCTTGGCTGTCTAAGCTCTTCAGTCAGTTTAAGTATTTATATTTGTTAAGTTTAAAAAAATACTTTTCTGTTTCATTTAAATCAGATACGTGATTTACTTAATAACTTTTGCTGTTATTTTTGCGTATTTCTTAAAACTCTTATATATTCATTGCTTATATGTATCAAGTCTTAGGTGGTTAAGACTTACTTCCACGCCATTTAAATATCGATTTCCACTTGGCCGGCTAAGTTCTCGTTTAGCCTCGTTTAGACTTGCCCACAAAGAGCTCATTATCGGATCCCATCGATTAAGCCCATAAAAATGATAACAATGCGAAAGTCCATATAGGCAGCGCGCAATCAAATTGAATGTGCGTCTGGCATTGTAAGCGATTGAGACTGGCAAATTGAAATCTGTCTGCTGGCATGTGAATACATGTTAGATACTAGCATTTCCGACCAGCCTTCACACATCAAAGTCTATAATCGTAATGAAGCTGACTGGGTAATGCGCTTAGGATATTTAGACATTGAACCAATTAAAGCCGAGGGGCAAACTCGGCGATTAGTTATTGAAGAAGCTGCCTGGAGAACACGCAACATTCATTGATGTGGGTGGATCCCAAGAAAACATTTATTCTTTTGTAGCCGCCCTTTTGTGAAGAGGAATGGGCGTCTTCGTCTGGCACACGCAATTTACTTAATTGGAAAATAAAATAAGCCAAAGCCAGAGACTGGGATTGGGTTTTGGGTTGTGGGTTGAGTGTTTGAGGGTTTGAGGGCTTTTTGCCACTGGAACTGGGCCAAACCGGAAACTGCTTGGCAAACTGAAACAATGGCCACTCGAGTTGGTTTTTTATGGTTGTATGGGTAGCGGGCATAATTTAATTCAACCGACAACGGGGCGTATGAGCAACAAAGGACCAAGGCGCTGGCTAATGCAAAATTAATGTCAATCGCTGATTCGGAGCCCCTTTGCCAAAAGGGGGCGAAACGAAATGCCAATGCCCTCTTAATTGTGACCTAACATTTGAACTGCGATGGAGACGACACGCACACATCTAAGCGAACGAAGGACATTGAGGAAAAGCCAGGCGGAAAAGCGAGAAAAGCGAGGCAAAAGGCAAGGGACAAAATGTCTGCCGGAAGTTATCCCTTTTAGCCAGATTGAAATCAGCTTACAGTCGCTCCTTAATTGAAATGTTTGCGTTTCACTTTAACCAAAGCCGTTTTCAGCCAGCCCAGGCCCAGGCTGACAAAACCCTTTTCACTCGGTCATATTTTTCTGTATTTCATCGGATTTCATTCATTTCATTTCATTGCTCTTCACCGTACTTTTTCGCACGTCATTTCATGAAGATCCCAGCCTGCCTGCCAAAGTTTTTAATAGTCGTAAAAGTACGGCTGCAGCCCAGGATAACGTTGGCCAAATCCGCGCTCGCCTTCATTTCCATTCATTTCCTTTGCTGCAGACTTGGCTTTTGTCCCACTCCGCCCTGTTGTGCATTATTTATAATTATTATTTTTAAATGCAATGACAACAAACGCAGTTTAATTATAATTTTCAACACATCAAATGCAGCAGCCGCAGAGGAAGAAAGAGGACTGCAAGCGAAGGACATCGGGGCACATCCAAGGAGAATGGCGCTAATGGCGCCAGCATTTCTCATTCTCATCCACCCTCTTAGCCAGCTTTTCCCACTTTGGAGACCAGGACAGCTTGGCTGTTTTTAAATCCAATTTCGCTTCATAATTTTATAACGCGCCCGGCAAACTCCGAGCTTTCTGGAACCCCAGAGAAATCTGCTCCTCATCCCCTTTTACCTCACTGGCCATTGCCGATTTAATTGCATTGCTGACATTTAACACCCAGCTCTGGGAACCCACACAAAAAAGGACATCATGGTGTAAAGGGACAAGATAGTAAATGAGTAAGATGGGAGCAGGAGCAAATGCAAAGTTGATTTTTTTATACGTTGCATATTGGTTTGTTAATTGAAGTCGAACAGAACTAAATTTCTATGATGGATTTACCAATTTTTCGCTTTCGAATTGTTGTATTGTTTGTAAGTTTTATTATAATTAAACATATATTGTTTTTGAAATTACTATTTTGGTTACAACTGAGTAATTAATGGTTCTTTTAAATGCAAAGACTATAGCTGGAGTATAACTAAGTATTATCTCCTATTCTAAATGTAGTGCAAATAAAAGAATTTTGTTATTATAGAGCGTTTCGAATACTCAACAACTAAGTAGAAGTCATAAAATAAAATACGGTAAAATAGGTTTGTAGCTTCGTTTTCTAAGAATCTGCGTTCAAATTTTGCTCTTAAAGTGTATGGCGTTTTTCTCGGCGATTTAATAAAAATTAAATTATTTAAAATGACTGCAGAAAATTTATCTAAATCGAGCACTTCTAAGGCCATAACTTTTCTTAAGGATGTCGGATTGTAAAAAAGCATAGCTCTAAAGCCTTGTGCTTTAATTTTCCAAGAATCTGTATTTAAATGTCAGCTTGTAATTTCAGGTCGATTTTTTGATATTTTAATGATGTAACCCCTTTCTATTTTTCCCAAAAATAGCTTCGTTGCAATATGACCTAAAACCAGCTGTTCTAATTGCATAACTTTTCTCTCAGAAATCCGATTTCAAAAAGGCATACCGCTATAGGTTTGTGACTTAGTTTTCTAAGAATCTGCGTTTAAATTTTGCTTTTAAAATTAATAGTGTTTAATGTTGTTGACCAAAATCTGCGTTGCAAACTTCTAACTGATATTATAGATCCCTCTTCAATGGTATAAAAAACCCCTTTAAAGGATGAATACACAAATACAACATAAATTAGAAACAAATTAAAATAACACTGGCACAACACTCACCGCCAAGTGCGGCTTTTTTCATAAGCAGCACAATGAAATTGTTCAGTCAAGTGCCTATAATGAAAACTAAATGCTGCAAGATTAGTGGTCTGCCGGCGGAGCGGGTGTCCGATAGGGGATTTCCCGGCGTGTTTTCCACGCCTTTGAAGCCATAAAACCACTGGAGCGTGCGCTGAACTTTTAGCACATTAGCCGGAGGAGAGCGAATAATAGTTGGTTTTATGGCCTGAGGTGCGAAAAAAAAAATAAAAAAAAACAGATACAGATACAGAAAGATACTCGCTCTACTAAAGCTGCCCAGGAAATTCACATGATTATGAATATGCAATTGGGAGCGGGAGCGGGAAACACTTGAGCGGCGCTCATAATTCATATTAGGGCCAGAAACAAAGGACCCAAAAAGGAAACCCGCAGAAGGAAAGTGGCTGGCAAGTGCAGCTGGCCAACGGACATTATGTGCAGCACGGTCTTAGAGGATATAATGACCATGTTAATGCCCAGCACAAAAGTGCACTGAAAGGAAATGAGCAAGATAAGTAACGAGCCCGAAAATGTTCCTTATTCCCCCTGCCCTGCCCTGGGCTACAAACTTTTGCGCACAACAGGGAAAACAAGGAGAACTGTGGAAAAGCCAGTGGCTCGATGCCTTGGCCGTTCCTCATTAAACGCACTCAAGTCGCTCGCAACAATCTTAATTATGTTGTAAAGTCTTTTGGCCAGGAGGAGCAGAAAAAACAAGCCAAGCCAAGCTTTTCAGCTGCCCGCCAGGAAAAACTTTGGCCGCGCTGATTAGTTTTTCGAGTGCCTGCAGTGCAAGTCGGCTTCGGCACTCAGTCTGTCATCCAGTCAGTCGGTCATCAGTGGCAGGGCTTTGGAAACTTTTCCGGGCTGGGTGGCAAAACAACAAAAACTCATTAAAAACTGCACAAATGCAACGTTTTGCAGGGCCCATAAATACACGGCAGCACCCTCGGCCAACTCCAGATGCAGATGAAGGGCCAAGTCAAGCGGGAAAATGCAAAACTGCCCAACAAATGCACAATAATTAGAGGAAAATTTAAAAGTCGTTTGCCTGCTAATGAAGGCTTCTTTTGTGCCCGGAAAGCTGAAGGCTTGGGGCCAGCAAAAACGCAGCCACCAAAATGGCAGGGCTAACTAGCCAAAGATGCTGCCGGCTAATGGCCAAAATTGGCTCAATCAATTGCCTTAAACGTCATAATTATAATTATAGTTTTAAGTAAATAGGGTTGCAAGAGGTAATCACAAATTGCATTGTGATAAAAGAGAAGACAAATTAGGGAAAAGTCAGGTGAATGCTTTAAATCAGGGAGCGTATTTAATGA